GTTCAACGGGGAAACTATGGACTATCCTCAAATCAGGCCAGGTATGCAGAGATACGAAAAAGAGAGAGAGAGGGGGGGGGGGGATGGAGTAGGAGGAGGAGGAGTTGGAGTGAGTTGAGAGGCAGATCGAGAGGAGGAGAGCATGAGCAGGAAAGAGAGAGGGAAAAGGAAGAACGAAGCGAATATGAAAGGACGAAGGATAAAAGGATAGAAGAAGGAAGATGTGCAGGCAAGCGGGCGCGTGTGAGGGGGGACGGAGAGTAAGGAGACGGTGAGGGGAGGCTACCTCCCACGATGGTTCCGTGAACAACGAAGGGCGCCAAACCGGACGAAGCTGGGCTTCTCCTCCTCCTTCTCTTTCTGTTTCTCCTTCCCTCCCTTTTCTTTCTCCTCCTCCTTCCTTCGTGTTTTCTTCTTGCCTCTCCTTTCCCTTTCCTTTCTCCTCCTCCGTTTCCATTTTCACTTCACCCCTCCCTCCTTTCCTTTTCCTTCTCCTCCCTCCACCTTTTTCCTTCTCCATCCTCCACTCCCTGTTTCCTTCTCCTCCTCCACCTTTTCCGTCTCCTCCTCCACCAGTCTTCTCTCTTAACTCTCCTTTTTCTCCTCCTTCTATCTCCACCCTTTCCTATTCTTCCTCCATTCCCTTTTCACACACCTTGCTCTCTCCTCTTAGTATCTCATTATATCCCTCTCTTTCTTTCGAACCAAAACCGCCACCACCACCTCTATCTTTCCTCTTTCGCATTTCTTCTTCTCCTCCTGTCAAAGATTACGACGAATCTCTCCCTCCTTCCTCTCCTTCCTTATTTCTCTCCGGCCCTCCTCCCCCCGTACCCCTCCCCTCCCACCTCCCTCTTTTGTTCTGATTTTGGACATCTGTATCGATGGAGGCAAAAAAGAGGGGAGGGAGAGAGAGGGAGAGAGAGAGAGAGGAGAGAGAGGAGAGAGAGAAGAGAGAGAGAGAGAGAGAGAGAGAGAGAGGAGAGAGAGAGAGAGGGAGAGAGAGAGGAGAGAGATAAGACGGAGAGAGAGAGAGAGAGAGGAGAAGAGAGGAGGAGAGAGAGAAGGAGAGGGAGGGAGCGGAGGAGATAGAGAGAAACGAGAGAGACAAGAATGAGATACAAACAATGAAACAACACACACAGAAAGAAGTAGAAAAGTAGAAACAGCACGAAACGTGGAAAGAGAGGACAAAAGAAACTAAAAAGATAGAAAGAGAAAGCAAGAGAAAGAGGAGGAAACAAGGCGGTGCGTTCTCCGCCAGGTTAAAATAAGTTCAGTTATGTAAATGGCAAAATCGATACTCCCCCCCCCCCAGCTGTCCGCTACTTCCCGCGGGAGGGGAAAGCAGGAAGGGGAAATACAAATTAGGGGCAGGAGTCAGACAGTAAGAGAAAGGGAAAGGGAGAGGGGAGGGGGGAGGGGGGGAGGGGGAGGTAGGGGACACGGGAGTGCAGGTGGAGGGGGGTGGGGGTAGGGGGTTAGAGGTAGGAGAGGGGGAGAATACAGGCTAAAGAGACAAGGGAGTGGGAGGGAGGGGGTTGGGGTACAGGGAGGGGGAAGGGTATGTGAGAGGGCGGGGGCAAGAGAGAGACAAGTTACATGCACGCATACATACAGACAGACACAATATTACATAAGTACACACAAACGCGGACACACGGCCAAAAGAAGAATCCGGCTCAAAAAAAAGAAGAAAAAAACAAACAAAACCAAAAGTCCTCACAAAAAGAAGACCGAAAACAAACAAAAGGGAAACATAGAGAAAACCAGAAAAAAAAGGGAAATAGGAGCATGGAGAGAAAAGGGGGATGGAGAGGGGAAGAGAGTAGGAATGGAGTACGGGCCAGGAAAAGAGAGGGATGGGGGGGCGGAGAGGGGGGGGGAAGGGGAGAGGGGGGGGGGGAAGGGAAGAAAGGAAAAACATCCCGTCAGATAACATCGATTGTCCTGCAGCGGTAAGATAATTACCAATCATTGTCCGGCTTCCACACCCTCGACAGGGATGGAAAACAAACGAAGCCGAATAAATGAACAACCGATGCAAACACACGGAGGAGAAGCGAATGGGAGAGGCACGATCGACGATGATAATAGATAATACGGGAAAATGATGATGATGACAGTTATAGTAGCAGTAGTGATAGTGTATGATAATCAATGATCAATAATAATAATAATAATAATAATAATAATAATAATAATAATAATATAAAATAACGATAATAATAATAATAATGATAATGATAATAATAATAATAATAATAATAATAATAATAATAATAATAATAATAATAATAATAATAATAATAATAATAATGATAATAAATAATTTAATAATATAATAATGGTAATGGAAATAATAACAACAACGACAAGTAATAATAGTAATGAAACAATAATACAACAACAAACAACAACAACAACAACAACAATAATAATAATAATAATAATAAAACAATAACCAATAACATCAATAACAAAACAATAACAAAGATAACAACCTTCGTATCATTAATAACGACATAAGCATACAGTCGCAGGCCACGCCACCTTTGATTGCAGGCGGGAATGCACGGACAGCATGCGATGAGGCCACCTTTCAACATAGACAAGCAATATTTGCTTAAGACGCTCGTGGTATTTAAATGGAATACCAGATGCCAATTCATTCCCACATTCAGAATAACTTGAGTTAAGCAAAGGCAGATTTCTACAGACCAAGCAATTTGTTCGGTCGCCAGTATGCTTTGTTCTCTTTTATGAAATTAGGATGTGCATTAAGTTCAGTGCCCTATGATCTGACTAAATACGTATGACTCTCCATAAGCGCATCTCCTGTATCTGCGTTTTCCCTTTTTTTTGAATTAGGCTTTTCCGATGGACTCCATATATGTAATTCAGATTATTAATATAACCCACTCTGACTCAACCCAATATATAAATATATATAAATGACTAATAATACTGTGATTAGTATTTATCAATATATATATACTGTGCTTCTCATATTATATATTATAAAATAAACGACTATAACTACGTTTACCTTGTTTCTCTCTCTCTATTTATCGCTCTATATATAAGTTACTATAGTATTCTGTCTCGTTTTTATAAGTATCTATATTATAATTATAATTTATTATATTTGGTATATATATATATATAGTATGTATTAGATTATTATATTATAAACTATAATATATTATATAATATATATAAAATATAACTCAATATATTTAGTATATTTATATATAATATAATTATATATGTATATTATTAAATATATAGTATATATAAATGGTTTAATATATATATAAATATAAATAAATAAAATATATATATGTTATATTAAATATATAGTATATATATGTATTTTTTATAATAAAGAAGTATAATGAGCATACGATATATAGTGATATATATATATAATATACTATAATATATATATGATATTATATATACTATATATATGTATGCTACTATACCTAATAAGTAATATATAATATGATAATATATTATTAATATATATATATATAATAAATATAAATATAATATATGTATATACAATGAATATGTATCATACTATATATAATATATATATATATACAGTAAGTTAATATAGGNTCTAATAATAATAATAGTCACTTATATATCAAAAGCTAATGATAATAATCTCAACTCTTAAAACCAAACTCAACTATGTCTCACCAATAAATGAAGTAAAGTCCATAATTATCCCTAGTGCTTATTTTCACAGTCTACTCCACCCCTCTAGAAATTATCTAATATTCATGAAAGATTAGTAACAGATAGTTGATAAACTAAGAGCGTTGAGACACAGAACAACTTATATTTGTGGTATTGCCTGTGATAAACATTGTCAGGAGTATATGATATCATACATAGTGTACCTTTGAAGTGTATGCATATAAAACTTTTTACGATATTATTTCCCTTTCATCATCACATCAGATTAAAGAGTATATATAGCCTCAAGTCTCTTCTTGAGAGATAAGAGTGAAATGTCGCGTTACACGCCACAAACACTATTAGTTGAAATATTATAAATAACCACTATACAAAGTGTGAAGCGCTTGCATAATTACCGACAGAGAACATTCCATAGCATGAAAAGATATAATTCCTAATTGCTAATGATTGATTGGGAGGCGAATTGCACAACTACACAAATTTTTTATGATTTACAATGCACTTAATAGACAATTCTTATTTTACATTATTTTATGAAATAGAATCGGTAGTTAAGTGATGTAATCTCTAATGAACATTATATAATAACATATTACACAACAAGACTAAAGACACTTATTTTAAACAAAATATATATAATCAGAAACCATAATGCGACATTACAACTGATGAGATTAAATTATTATATTGCTTTCCAGCGTTACAGAAAAATTTCGAATTCCTTTCTACACACATAAGATAAAAGGTACACCTGCAGCATACATCATTCGGACAACTATATATAGTGCAAATGGCAGTCCACTATATAACCAATACATTAATAAAACCTAAATATCAATGTATATAGTTATAAGTTTCAATAAATTAATAGTCTAATTACTCTTGTGTGTGATGTGTGTCTTTCTATTTCAGGAGCCGAATTATTAAGAATATATAAGTTTGGCTACCAGTATATCACAGAGGCTGAGTATCACACTACTTTGCTTCGAGACGGACACGAGTACAGAGAACATATAGACAAAATATTTATTTCTATATTAGATATGTGTCGAGAGAACTTATTATTGACTTTCTATTTACATTATATAATCACCCAAAAGTTTTTTTTCCTCTTACTAAATGCAATGTTTGAAAAAGAAGTTTTCACTAAGCCTAATCTGAGCTAATACCAACATCAAACTGAGATTACGGAAAGGAGGAGGGGTTGGGCAAAAATGATGATAGTGAGTGTGGTGCTCCACGACAGTTTAATGGGTATAAGATCAAAGCAGACTTCTGCCAATACCCTACATGCCCAAGAAGGCGGTGGGTATGTGGCAAATATACAGTAAGTCAGGCTGCTTCACCACCTTTTTCATACCAAGATGATCAGCAAAAACCACCCTCTTAAAAACCCTCAAAGGGGTAAAAAGAAAATAGGAGGATAAGATAAAACAAAGAAAAAGAAGAAGAAAAAAATAATTATTTTTTCTAAACAACTTACTTAAGAAATGCCAAGCCAAGAACTTGAGCGACACCATTCGATTATGCGACATGTGGAAGAGGTGGACTGTGTCTATCAGCTGACTCATTGGCACTGTCATGTTGATCACCCTGGAGGAAAAAGCAAAATTTTGACAATAAAAAAAAAGGGAAGAGAAGAAGAAAAAAGTGTGATTTCAGTTAAAAACTGATTTTTTGTTTTCTAAACATGGAAATAAGAAATTATGATATTGATAAAAAGTATGTATCAGCTCAAATAGAATTAGCTAAATAATAAAAAACACATTCAATAATACATGGAGTCATAGGCTAAAAAGCCTTGCAACCTTCTATAAAATTACTCTTCTTTTAAAAAAGTAAAAGAAAGAAAAAAAAACATAGTTTTTTATATAAAGTCCATATAAAGTGACAACCTACAAATTTTTCTTAGATTTAGTAATTCATAGCAGTTTGCTCATGTGAACTTGCTTAACTTAAAATCTGTTTTTAGGATAATAAAATCCAAAATACATAATACAAATAAACAATCCTATGGCAGTTCATTTATATTGTAATGCCCAAACCAATAAATTGACAATGAACAGACATGTGATCAGAAAACATGAAAACAAGCAAATCTACATTGACAGCACAGCTTCATTGACATCAAAGTTTCATAAGTACACCATTTATCCTCTGGACCAATCCACAGACCACCCACCTGAAGTCATTCTTGAGGCCGTGTCCCACAAACTTAACACCCTTGTCCACCAGGTATCTCAATTTCACGTAGGTACTCTTCAAGGTGGTCAAGTGTTTTTGAGAGAAGTTGGCATCCAAGTCTCCTGGTTTGATGCCCGAGAACTGGGTCAGGTAGTCCACAACCTGCTCTTGTGTTGATATATAATCGTCCAGGAATGGGGTACCTTCCAGGGGTCCTTGTCTGGAGTGGTTAGGGAAAGGGGTGCAAAATGAGAGTAGTTTATTCTATTGATTATATTTTAAAATGATAATCTACTTAATGTCTATATAGTCAGGCATAGACATTCTGTGAAATGAAACACTTTGAGAATTAGAGATTGTGTACTTACCATACTATATAGCTATATAGAATGCTGGATTATAACTTTGTTCACTAAGTAACACTGGTTTTTATAGCATCTAAGAGTTATGATGTACTTCATAGTAATATTTCCAGACCTATACTACAAGATACATGAGATTGATAGATGCCACAGTTATAAATGTGATTCATTACTAATAATGAATCACATGAGTCTTAAAAAACACACGGCAACCTAACACACTTCTTCATTTTTGAGCTTAAAGTGTGATCAAAATGCACAACCATACCCTCGTATGCAAGTGATTCTTGCAACCGATTTATGTGAAGGTTTGATGGTAGTCCGTGTGCCATCACTACGTATCTCTGCTTCCTCTTGGTGAAGGTTCACAAACTCTGCATCCATAGCCACCAAATCACCTACATCATGAGGGAATAACATTAGTCTATGAATAATATCAACTGTTCAGAGCTGTTTATGATTTCTAATGTTTCATTCTACTTTTCTACATACTTTCTTCTTCTTCTTCTTCTTCTTAGAGAGAGAGAGAGAGAGAGAGAGAGAGAGAGAGAGAGAGGAGAGAGAGAGAGAGAGAGAGAGAGAGGAGAGAAGAGAGAGGAAGAGAGAGAGAGAGAGAGAGAGAGAGAGACCCGAGAGAGGGAGAGCGAGAGGGAGAGGGAGAGGGAGAGGGAGAGGGAGAGGGAGAGGGAGGGGGGAAGGAGGGAGGGGAGGGAGGGGAGGGGGGAGGAGGGAGGGAGGGAGGGAGGGAGAGGGAGGAGGAGGGAGAGGGAGAGGGAGGGAGGGAGAGGGAGAGGGAGAGGGGAGAGGGAGAGGGAGAGAAAGAGAAAAAAGAAAGAGAGAAAAGAGAAAAGAAGGAGAGAAGAGAACAGGAGAGAGAAGAGAGAAAGAGAAGAGAGAGAAGGAGAGAGAGAGGAGAGAGAGAGAGAATCGAGGAGAGAGAGAGAGAGAGACAGAGAGAGAAGAGAGAGAACAGGAGAGAGGAGAGAGAGGAGAGGGAGGAGAGAGAGGAGAAAGAGACGAGCAGGACGAGAGATGAATGAGAGCGAGAGAGAGAGAGAGAGCAGGACGAGAAGGGAAGAGACGAAGAGAGAGGAGAGAGAGAGAGAGAGGAGGAGGGCCAGTCATGAGAGAGAGAGAGTATTGTTATCACAATGCCACGACGGGAGACCGTTTTAACGGTTACTAAGCAGAGAGATGATAAAGCTTGCCAAGAGAAGAGTATATGAAGAGATCAGCACGGAGATGGAGAGGAAGATATCATGAGTATCATCGACAGAGACTAGGAGAGGTAATCGCAATTATCGATGGTATTGAGGAGGAGAACAGATGCGACGAGACCAGAAGATCGCACTGAGGAAGCCAACAAAGACCGTATGAAATGTATCGATGAGATGAGATAGAAAGAGAAGAAGCTAATGAGGAGAGATATAAGAGAAACATAAAGAGAAAATAGAGCATAGCGTACATAGAGCAGAGAGAAAACAGACTGTACGTAGACGAATGTATGCAGCAGAACACCTAGCATCGTAGAGTACGAGAGTGATGAAGATTTCTCGTATTGAGAATACGAATTCAGAGAGCGAGGTAGATCCTCTCATCTCTTTTCGCGTGACTACCTCGCTATGTTAGTATGTATATATATCCACCGTCTTCTCACTCACTCCTCTCACTCTCACTCTCGACTCTCTCCTCAGTCAAAAGTGCTGACCCCACTATCCTCCTCTCTTCCCCTGACCTTCACGGCTTTCTCCCTGCCTCATACGAGATTCTGAGCAGTTCCATCACTAGGTCTCACTGGCCTATAACTGCAGTATTCTGATACAGCGCCAAGGCAGTCCTGGCTCCTCCAATGCTTGTCGTGAGTTACACTCTGATCCTGAGTTCTGTAGGAAACATGAGGTACTGAATTTAATACCTTTCGCCTCAGACCAGAGTGCAGAGAAGTAGGTAATCTTGATACATTATAGATCTGTCAAAATACAAGATGTAATATATGTTGTGAATAACACGATATAATCATATAAATCCGTTTTATAATCTTTAATTTGAAAAGCCTTATCATAATCTGTACAAACCATTGTTCTATTATAAGTATAAACCTGTATAATACATTTTAACTGCCTATCACGTGATAATTATCATTGCAATTTCTGTGCATTAGAAAACTATTACAATCTCTCCCCCCATTTCCCCCACCCCGTCCTTCCCACCTCTACGACAACAAGTACTCTCTCAATCCTCCTCACACTCGTTTCTCTCTCTTCTCTCTCTGCTACATCACTCCTCCTCTCTCTTTATACTTCCTCATTTCTGCATTTCAGTCTCTGCGTCTCATCATCTCTCCTATCTTCTCGTACATCTCATCTCCTCTACTCTGTGCTCTCTCTTCTGCCCACTCTCCCATAACTCTCTCCTACTCTCATGCTCATCTCTCTCTGATCCTCATCTTCGACTCTCTCAATACTTGAGAGAACGGTCGTGCTCCTGCTAGGACTGCCTCTCTCTCTCTATTACCATCTGCTCACTTGCTCTCTACTCTCTTTATCCTGCTCTCTCTCAATCTCATGTCCAGTCTTCGTCTTACTGCTGGCTCTCATCTCTCTCTAGCTTCTCATCATCGTTCCTAACTCCTCCTACTGTCTCCCATCTCTAGAGTGTCATCTCTCTCGTCTCTTGACTCTCCTGCTGACTCCATCATCTCTCTCTCTTTTACCATCTCTCTCTCTTCTCCTCTCTCTCTTTCTCTTCTCTCCTCTCAATCTTCATCCTTACTCCAATATTACACATTCTTTTCTCTTCCTCCCTCTCCCTTCGCCTCACCTTCCCTTCGTCCCTATACCTACTTCTCACCACCCTCCCCCCTCTGCGCCTACTCCCTCCACTCATCCCCTCCATCGCTCCCACTACCTCCCCGCTGCCCACCCTCTCTCCTCTCTCTACCCTGCTATCCCCTCTCACCTCTCCTCTCCCTCTCCCTCCTCCCTCTCACTCCATCTCTCTCTCTCTCTCTCTCACTCTGCTAGACTGCTTGCTCACTCTCATACGTGCGCTCTTGCTCTGCTCATCTCTCTCTCTCTCTCATCTCTCTAACTCTCTATCTCGTGCCTACGTATCATACTTTTGTCATCGTTCTTATTATACGATACAGATGAAGATCATAACCATGCGATGAGAGCATTAGATTAAATAGCATTAGTACAAGCAAATTGTAACAATTAGTATAGTGAATAATTGATCAATACAACTACTAGCGAGAGACTCACTAGACATTGCACAAGGTCGAAGGAACAATGTATAGAGTGAGTAAAACTAAACATAACAATAAGAGACACTCGAAGTTATGTCCAGAAAAAAAAAAAACTGCTCAATGCGAATGCGTTCACGCGTTGATGTGTCGTGCATCAGAGTGCATAGAGAACGTATTTCGTTAGTAGACTTCCATCAGTCAATAGGTAAGACCAACCGATGGTATAGCGGTATACAGTGACGGTCACACAGAGCCAACTCCGAGTTCAATTCACCGCTTCAACCATATATATCTCTATCTAGTGCACGAGAATATGCACTATGCCAATGACGAATGAGCTTAATGAGATTGATAGAACAGGTAATCTTAGCAATCTGTTTAATAATCTCTATAAAGAGTGACAAGACATGTGGTAAGGTAGTTGCTCACACGGTATCATGTGATTTAATAATAAATAGAAGAGATTATTCTCAAACTGCTCGAGAAGTATTCATGCACTTTTAGTCGTTTAATTTGAATCGAGCGAGTAGTGCCCATAAACACAATATATGTGAGGCATACATCATACACAATGTGTGCTAAACGATGCTCATCTGATAAATATAGTATACGAGCTCGTAGAAGAATAATATATATTCTACTAATGAATTATTATCGATAAGCTCGTTGACGATCACTATAAACACAAACATATTGTTATTTTTTACGATGAACACAACACACTCTAAATCGCCCACAGCTATATGTCACAATATATAAGTCTTATCATAGGTAATTTTATTTATTTTATTTTTTCTTTATTTGATTTTCTATTTTTTTTTACTTTTATTTCTTATCTATCATTATTTTTTTTCATTATTATATTTTATCTATATATATCTTTGTATCTTCTATATATGTTTATCTTATTTTCTTTCTATATATTTTATGTCTTTATATCTAATTTATATATTTTATCCATCCTATTCTTATTATATTATATTATTCTTTTATTCTATTTTGTTTGTGTTTATTTCAGCTACAGAATACATCTATCTTCGAGAGTTGCTCACACAAGTGTTTATTTCACAGCGAATGCGAGTACTTATGTCGTGTACGGATACACATAGATCATAAGTAGATTAATCAATATTTCTAAAAATTCTCATAATCACAAATAAGAAGGAGAAATATAATCTACTATCTCATATGAATTTATTCCACAATTTCCCTAAACAACGTCGCATGAACAAGGAAAACCACCCTGTAAGGTACCCAATTCGCTCAGGCTCGACTCCTACATACTCATACAAACACAAGCATCATGTACTCAGAGAAACCATGTTCACACTGAAAACACCTATTATTCTCTGGGAGCAGTTTAGAATCCGACTGCGACGAAGGATTCTATATTGGTATAGAATCCACACCTCTAACTCTACAAAGAGAGCACTTTTGCACCACTTATATAACGCTCATGCAATAAAGCCTAGCGTATGACAATTGAGATAATCTAGTGTGGACAAGAGTGTGCAACTGCTTCACCACCTTCAACTCTCATAAGTTATGTGGATACGAGCCTCAAGAATGCACTTACCTCTGTAGTGGATAAACGCGCTTCAAGATGGTAGAAAGAATTAATGTGCGCAAAAGACATAAAAAGATAGAGAGGAAGAAAAAAAAATAATGTTAACTTTTATCTAGAACCACATCTTAATAGAAGATAGATATCTCACTGAAGCACGAAGACTGTTGCTGTACGACACTGGATCACACTAATCCTTCATTGTCTATCATATGTGTCTAGAGAGTAAGCAGTATCTGACTCGTAGTGTGTAGTTCACATATCTTGATTGGTTTGGTGCAAATTGGATATGACAATCAAATCCAGTGCGATGTGAGTACTTGTACTCATGTTGTATAGATATCTATAATAGAGAGAGAGAGTAGGCGAGGAAATCTATTTATTTGTACTACACACACAGATGTATATAAAGGCAAGTTAACATAGAAGAGCAAAACTACTGAGTAATAATGTAAAAATTGATAGTGGTCACTATTGATATTGCTACTATATAATAAACAGCTATATTTTTCTGTTTTCCCATATACTTTCAGAAGAGATAAATGATAAAATATTATGATAATAAGGTGCAGCTATTTAAGAACCAGATTACATTATTAAGCTATGTAT